CACAAACTGGATAGACTAGGAGTCACAATGCAGAGGCAGAATAAGATGAACTGAGAGGCAAAGAAAGTGGATTGCAAAGCCGTCTCGTGCAGATATGTCCAGTTCTAGAAACAGCTCCAGGGATGTGTTTCCTGGACTTGCTGTTGGTAAAATTTACAAAATGTATTTTCAGCCCCAACTGGTTAACACCATCGTCTTTTCATTTTGATCTCCCTGTCTGAAAATGCTACTAGAGCTCACGTCAGCAGCACAGAAGTGGCCCTCGCTTTTCAAAACCAGATATAGGCAAACTGGGTGCGAGACATACTTATTTTGGATTTACTGGGATACATTTATGAGTTTCCTAATCATTCCTGTGCACTAAAAAAATAATGCTTATCCCACAAGGAGTATCCTTCGTGCTCAGGACTGACACAGCCACAAGGAACACAGGTATCAAGACACTCTGGACGGAGGGGATCGTAACTGCAAAGACAGGAGAAGGCGGAGTCCTCACGCATTACAGCATTGCGAGCAGGTGCTAGCTATATGTAATAGCATAAGCCTGGCATACATGTTCCCAAATTAAAAAAAAAATCTAAAAATATACAAGATATTAGAATTCAATTGCCCATTAACAAAAATGCTTGAAATTAAAAGTGTTTCAGATTTAAGGAAATGTGAAAAACAGGATGCAGACATAGGCATGCCATCGATGCAATGCAGAGCTTACAAACAGGATCTGACTCTCCACATCACATTTTTAGCGTGAGCCTACATTCTGACACATCACCTGAGGTCAAGTACGGAATTCAGAAAGTTCCAGATTCTGGTGGATTTCAGATTGTAGGCGTCACATTAGGGACGCTCAGCCTGAAGAAATGTATCTTTTTTCTACCCCAAAGCTAGAAGTGTTTAGGAAATATTGTTCCTGTTGATGTAGAGGATGCCTAAGAGCACAGCTAACACAGGTACCAAGCGCTGAGTTTCACTCACTCAGCCAGAAATCAAGGTGGATTCCCAGACCTCAAGGACACCTTACTCCATATAGACGTGTGGGGCAACATTCTGTGCTACATTTTTTTTCTAAGTATATAGTCAACAAACGCTTTTTTAAAACAACAATTTCTAAAAGTTTATGTGGGAGCAAATACTTCTGGAATCTATTCAATGTTCTCTCATAATCTGCATGTCACTAATGCTTCACAGATCCTTCATATGCCTAAAAGTAAATTTCTACTTCCCATCAATTTCTGACATGGCATCGTGATATAAAAGAACCTCATAATTAATAATAGTTTAAACAACTAGAAATTCCTGCTAAGCAGGAATTGTGCTTAGGAAATGTCATGGTGACTCCAAATGAAGCAACCCCTAATAACAACTATACAGTCGTATAAAACTCACTTCATCAATCGAATCACAGCAAACGTCTCACTTTGATTTGATTCGACTTAACCTTTAAAAATCCTTATCAATTTGGCTATAGTGCTATGGAGCAGCCATTAAGGCACAAGCCACTTGAGCTATCTGGCCAAATATTCTCAGATAAAGAGATAAAGATAACACCTTTATACTAATGTGAATAACTTACAGAACCGAAGAACTGTGTCAAACAGCTCTTTGGAGATGGATTGGTGAGTCTGTGTTCTCCTGCCCAGCCACTACGTGCTAGATGCACATCTACTGATAACTCAGATCGAAAGATTCAACATATGTTCTCATTTCCACAATCAATAAAAATAACACAAGATTTATGGGAGGATGTAGTTTCAATATTTTCCACAATGTAATTGCAAGGAAAAGATTAGAGCAGATCTGAATGGAGCTCAGTACAACGTTTCAAGCTGTGTGGGTTTTTTCCACTCATGCTCTACACTAACAGTTAACACATCATTTCTGAGTCTCCTACTTGCTACAGCCTTCCAAAACCGCATGTTTTGGCAAAGCAATCCATGCATCATTAGGTTAATTTCCCATTCACATTATACATACTTGCATATAAGCCATCTGTTAGAAACTAAACAACATCAATCCTTCAGTTTAATCTGAATTTTAGACTATCAAATAGTAGCATAATTTAAATCCTACTTATTCCAAGTATGACGTATCCAACAGCTTCATTTGAGTGGATATTAAATCCCACTACTAGACTAACAGAAAGAAGAAGAAATATGCAATAAATGTGTTTCTTGTGTTAAACGCTATTCACGTATCGTTGAAAAAAACTTGACGTAACTCACCCTGCCATGATCTGAACATTTCAGATATACAGCTGTGATGCCAGTGACTGGCCACAAAGGGAAGTAGTCTTATCATTTGAAAATGATAAGCGCTAAATCCATCAAGTTCCGGAGTACCAAATAAGCTCCTCAAAGGAATTATTATGGCAATTATATTTTGCAATTTCTTAAATAAACTTATCACTTTGAATATTTTGCTAATATCAAGGCATAGTCATGTTCACGTCCACTTCTTCAAGTGCCTTTTCTCTAACGGCTAAATATTTCTCCACATTAGAAACCAGAGGAGACATTTCTGATGCCAAGGCCATTTGAACATCACAGTGGCACCAGGGGTGAGAAAGCCCTTTCCGTCAGAACAGCTCCTACAGAAAATGCAATAGACTGCATTTCTGTAACATCCATTTATTTAATAATTTTATGTTTATAACCTATATCAACATAGCTGTGGGGCTTATAAATTTTTACTCTCCAATAGTTTCCACAGCTTACGGTTTCTGCTTGGCTCACTCAGGACAACGGAAACACGCCCCTGAAAACCTCTCCACAAAAATTCTCCTCCTCAAAAAGTTTTCAGCAGAGGGGCTAGCTGGGAAGAGCAGGAATGTTTAGGACACCAGGAAGAAAAGAAGGCAGAGAAGAGTGGGAAGAGGGGCGGTGGGAGAGCTCACACTCAGAGCGGCAGCTCAGAGTCCGAAGGGCCACGCGGGCCCGTCGCTGAGTGCGGTCTGCGCTGAGCTGAGCTGCAGCCCACGCTGAGTGCCCTCAGAGTCACTCAGAGTCACCGCAAGCAGGCTCCTCCCGGACTGTGTGCCTGAACCAAAGCTACACCACCTCCTGCGGAGGCCTGCATGCTCGCCTGATGCAGTCACTATGGTCCGCGCCTGGCCTGTCCAAGCCACGGAGGACAAGCTGCAAGCTACAACATACTCAACTACTCAACTTCACACTCAGTCCATCTAATCTGCTGACCCTCGGGGGTGAGGTCAGTAACACCTCATCCTTGGGTTTAAGTCCCTAACAGGGACAATTCAGGGCAAGGATGTGAGAGAGCTGATAACTGCAAACAGTTGCACATTGCTACGCCCAACAGTCATTTAAACCATCAACAAATGCATTAACTAGCTTAAAGTAGCAGTTGATAAGCAAACATAGAAATAGAGGTGACATATTCAATATTCATAAAATGTCAAGTTACCTTTCATAGTAATGGTAAAACAGGAGGTGAAGTCTTCCATTTTCTAGGCCTGCAGTGGTTTTCATGTACCACAGAGGCATATATTATCCCTTGTTATGCAGCAGGTTCGACGTGCGCCCTTTGTTCACGGTGGGTACTAAGCAAAGCTCAGCCATACGCTCCAAACAAAGTTCAATCATCTCAAAACATTTCCACACATCAGAGGTTCAGAGTCGCTAACATGAAGCTCTGCTCTTGGCATTAAATATTGTGATGTGAAGAAATGCTTATCTCTCATTTATTTTTGTTTCTCCATGCCTCCTTTTCCTGTATGTGTGTGCACACACATACACCCATAAATACTCTATAAACGATTTCATATTTCAGTGTGAAAGTCAAGTTTTAAAAGTTTACTTTTGGGGCCCAGCATGGTAGCCTAGTAGTTCCTCACTTTGCCAGGATCCCATATGGGCATTGATTTGTATCCCAGCTGCTCCAGTTCCCATCCAGCTCCCTTCTTGTGGGTGGGAAAGCAGTTAAGGACGGCCCAAAGTCTTGGGATTCTGCACCCGTGTGGGAGACCTGGAGGAGGCTCCTGGCTTCTGGCTTTGGATTGCCCTAGCTCCAGGCTTTGTGGCCACTTGCAGAGTGAACCAGCAGACAAAAGAGTTTTCTCTCTGTCTCTCCTTCTTTCTGTAAATCTGACTTTCCAAAAAATATAAATAAATCTTTTTAAAAACTTTTATATTACAAAAATATAGAGAATTAAAATTCTGAAACATTTATTTATACTTCTATCACTGAAACATTCTAATAACAGCCACATTTGTGCCTTGGATGGTTGAGATACGCTCACCGAGGCCCAGTTAGAGGGGGTGCTTACTGGACTTCACATTCCCTTGGACCTCATCCTCCTTTCTCGCAACAATGTGCTCACAGCTCCAAAACCCAAAACGTGTGGCTCCCGCCCATTTTCTCACCTCTCTGGAGTTGAGAGGAAGGTATCTGCATTCTACAAGTTAAAAGTTTCACCATAGTGAATGAAAGCCAGCTGGCAAGTCAGCACTTCTCTCCAGGGCAAGCACACCAACATCCTGTTAGGGCTTCTGTCTCTCACCGTGTAATAGTGTCTGCACAAACGACAGCTGCCATCATCGATAGCAATCACACGAGTAACACCAAGTTGTGGATGGGCATCCCTGGCCTAGAAGTCTCAACTCGACACTCCGTGGGCACAGAACTGATTCCTCGGTGCTGAGAGTCTCCGAGCGTTTGCTAGAAATCAACAACTGCAAACTGATCCAGCTCGCTGGGACCCAGGCTTGTCCAGCCAGCGACGCGCAAGCCACACAGCGCCGACTTCTGCGTGTCTCAGTGTGGTCTTAACTTCTTAGCTAAGCCAACCCTCAAGAGCAATTTCCCAACTTGCCAAGAATCCCACTTTCGTATTTATTTTCCTCCTTCTAACTTACGCTTTCTCAACCAAGTAAAACAGCCTACTTTATATTTTTTGATTGAATAAATAATTCATTCTTTTATCATTATGAGCTAAAACAAAAACCTTGAAAGTTATCACACGTTCCTTTGAGGTGACATCTTACCTTCGGGCTTGTTGTTCTTCCTCTTCAGCCATTTTTCTACGGTCTCTGCACTAACGCTTTCAGAAACAAATTCATCTAATACCTGGGGGTGAAGAGAAAGATAGGCCTTCACTTTTTCATCTGTCAAACCTGCAAAAGAATTGAAAAGAATAAAAGTCACCTATACAACATCTTCAAGTTTAGGAAAGATACAGCATGACACACTGTGCTAAGACCCAATGACCTCAACTCTGTCGACGAGGGCAGGAGCGCCATGAGTATGAGCCACTTTTGTTTTCTGTTCGTGGTGCAGATCAAGTAAGTATCTGCGCATACTTGGCATTTAGCACACAAAAATAACCAACACCACTGAAATGTGAACTCAGGTCAATTACAGCAGTGTTTCACATCATACGTGTTTTGCCACAATACAATATTTTTAGTAAATGCAAATTTAGAATTTTAGTGACATTAAACTATAGACACTTTGTCATGTTACAGAGCAGTTTTCCAGTAGTAAACATCGGGGGCACATACGAACCAACACAGTGGCCAAGGCAGTGTGCATCATGCTTACAAAGTACAAAATAAGTATTTTTTATAAATAGCTATTACGGTTGTTACATTCACAGCAATTAAAACTTTGGCGGTAATACAAGCTGATAGATCTAGCGGCAGAGCACTACAGGTGCCAGGAATGTTTAGTGATTAAATTACCATATTTTATTCCCTTCCAATGCAAATTCTCCCTTTTTGTCAGGGACAATAAATTTATCAGTAGAAGTGATGTCCAGTTCAGAATAAACATGACATATGGTCATTAATACCCACTGAAGCAATAATAGTAATAATACTCAAGTTTAATGGTAACCATTGATTATATACAGAACATTCAGATAAAGAATCATAGCTGCCCTCTCAAGGAACAGATATATTTAGATGTATTCCAACAGGTGCTTCATGTTGGTGTATCAATTCATTAAAGAACCCCAAGTACAACAGGCTACAGGCTGTTCTTTCTGAGGATTATCATGTGGCTGGCGTATCTTCTCTGTGAACTACTTGAATAGACCATCCTATGAAGAGGAGGAGGAATGGCCCTGATGCTCAGGGACCGGCCTGTATGCTCTCCCTGCATTCCCTGGGGAGATTCTACATCATAATACTGTAATACAGAAGGAAACTCATCTCTTTCTATACAATCAGCACTCAACAACTTCCACAAATATAGTTACAAACCGATACATACACACACCATACACACATGTGTCTCGACAACGATAGCGCTCAAGGGAACAAACATTAGAACCCCACTGCCTATATCACCCTACAAAACCACCCCATCGGCAGAAAATTCAGACTGGAGCTACTTTACAGGGGGTGCAAACAGGAAGAGAACCTTTAAAGTGGAAGGATATGCTGCTGGCAGAGCAAGGTCCAGGCCCCCATAACAGAAGACACAGGAAGCTGAAGTAACCGGATAATCCCACCTCACACCTCCTGGGCTCTGTGCTCACCTCACACCTCCTGGGCTCTGTGCTCACCTCACACCTCCTGGGCTCTGTGCTCACCTCACACGTCCTGGGCTCTGTGCTCACCTCACACGTCCTGGGCTCTGTGCTCACCTCACAGCTCCTGGGCTCTGTGCTCACCTCACACGTCCTGGGCTCTGTGCTCACCTCACACGTCCTGGGCTCTGTGCTCACCTCACAGCTCCTGGGCTCTGTGCTCACCTCACAGCTCCTGGGCTCTGTGCTCACCTCACAGCTCCTGGGCTCTGTGCTCACCTCACACGTCCTGGGCTCTGTGCTCACCTCACACATCCTGGGCTCTGTGCTCACCTCACACGTCCTGGGCTCTGTGCTCACCTCACAGCTCCTGGGCTCTGTGCTCACCTCACACGTCCTGGGCTCTGTGCTCACCTCACACGTCCTGGGCTCTGTGCTCACCTCACACGTCCTGGGCTCTGTGCTCACCTCACACGTCCTGGGCTCTGTGCTCACCTCACACGTCCTGGGCTCTGTGCTCACGCGCTCCATGCTGGAGCCTCTTCAACCCCATTCCTTCTTCAAACCTCATCTTGTCACTTCCATGACACGACGCTACACTGTCCCTACCTGAACTTTCTATCCTTTACTTCTGCTTGCTCTTCAACAATTCAGGATGAGTACACCATAAGGCTGAAGCAGAAATCTTATTATATTTTTATATCATACATAATATCCAATTTCTGTATATTCAAGCTTCACCTTAAGCCGAAACTTAAATGCGTCATCTCCTTTCCACTTCTTCACAAAGAGATTATCACTCTCAATCTTCTTCTTCCCAGAAACTCAGGCTGAAAATTTAAGGTCAAAATTGACTCACTCCTCTTTCTCATCTCATTGCATCTTAGTGAATTAGCATACATAACCTCATCATCAAATTACGTATCAAATAAAAGACTTACACTCAAAACATTCTGTGAACTCTCATGATTCATCAGAAACAAACAGCCCAGCTTAAAATGTGAGAAATGTTTGTGTATGTGCCTCACAAAGGTAATAAATACAGCAAATAAACCTATACAAGATAGACATCTTCCAAGAACCACGGAAAATTCATATTCAAAAACTATCCATGGATTTAAAACATTTACCCCAAAATAACTGTTTCAATTACAGTTCTTTTTCCTACAAACTTTCTAAAATACCATTATCAAAATATACTCATTGGTCATTAGTGAATTGCAATTAAAGTAGGAATATATTACAGATCTAGTAGAATAGCTAAAATAAAAACAAAACACAAAAATGGGTGGCATGTATGTAGAACAGCTGCTCATTCACTTCTAGCAACAAGTAAAACGGGAATTATTTTGGAAGACTGGCAGTTTCTGACAAATGTAAATACAGTGTTTCTGTATGACCCACACTTACATACTACTACCAATTCTAGCTATTTACCCAACTGTTATGACATCGCACATGAAAACCTGCATGTGAATATTTACAGCAGCCTTATTCATAATATCTTAAATGTATTAAAAAAAAAACACACAAGCTATCCTTCATTAAGCAAAGACAAGCCATAGTACATCCACATGACCAAGCATTCCTGAGCTAACAAGTGGTCAAGAGACAGATGAGTCTTTAATGTGTATTTCTGAGGTAAAAAAAAAAATTACAGCCTGAGAAGGTTATATAGTACACAGTTCTAACTACTGAATGTTCTAGGAAACCCAAAATTACACCGTTGGTATAGTGACTGGGATTGTGTTGAATCTGTATATTTCTTTTGGCAATATGGATACATTGACGAAGTTCCCAATCCAGGAACATGGTAAGCTTCTCAATCTTTGAATGTGTTTTGTTTTTTTTTTTTTTTACTGTTTTGTAATTTTCATTAGAGAGGTCTTCTACATCTTTAGCTAATTTCAAGGTATCTGAGATTCCTCTCTCTTCACTATGGGACTGTACTTACAATTTCTTTCTCAGTTGTGGAGTTATTTGTATGTTTAGTTTATGTTCAATTATTTTGCATCCTGATACTTTGCAAAATTCTCTTATGAGTTCCAATAGTCTCTTGATTGAATCTCTTGTAAAGAATCATGTTATCTGCAAGCAGGGATAATTTTAATTCCTCAATTCCAATTTGAATTTGTTTTCTTTGTTTTCCTTGACTAATAGCTCTGGAAAGAACTTTCTATACTATATTGAATATCAGTGGTAAAAATGGACATCTAGTTCCAGGTCCTAGGGGAAAAGCGTCCAGGTTTTCCCCACTGGCTATGATGCTGGCTTCAGGCTTTTTGAATCCTGCCTTGACTGTGTTACAGAATGCTGCTTCAATGCCTGTCTTGCTTAAGTTCTTAGCATGAAGTGATGTTGGATTTTATGAAATGCCTTCTCTGCATCTGTTGAGATATGGTTTTCATTTTTCAATTTGTAGATGTGGTAAATCACATTTACTGAGTTATGAATTTTAAACCATCCCTGCATGCCAGAGATAAATTCCAATTGGTCCAAGCGAATGATCTGGATGATGTACTGTTGGATACTGTTGTTGACGGTCTTTGTGTCCGTGTTCACCAGGGATATTGGTCTGTAGCTCTATGTTTCTGTTATATCCTACCTGGCTTTGGCATTAAGGTGATATTGGCTTCACAGGATGACTGGAAGGATTTTCAGTTTCAATTTTTGGAATAGCTTTTGGAATATTGGGATAAGTTCTTCTTAAGACATTTCATAGAATTCTGCAGTGAAGCCATCTGGTCCATGGCTTTTCTTGGTTAGGAAAGATTTAATTACTAATCCAATCTCAGTCCTTGCTATGCATGTATTTATATTATTAATTGCCTCATGATTCCACTTTTGTAGATTTTATATGTCCAAAAATCATCCATTTCTTTTAGGTCTTCTGATATTTTGGCATAGTTGCTTGTAATAGTTGCTAATAATTCCATGTATGTCCGAGGTATCGATTGTTTATTTCCCTTTTCATCTCTGATGCTGTTCATCTGTACCTTCTTCCTCCTTTTTTTTTTTTTTTTTGATTAGTTGGGCTAGTGGGGAATCTATTTTGTTGATGTTCTCAAAGGACCAGCTCTTTGATTTCATCTTTTGTATTGTTCTTTTGGTCTCTATTTGGTTTATTCCCTCCCTTAGTTCTTTCTTCCTGTTAATTTTGGGATTACTTCACTTTTGTTTTTCTAGCTCCTTCAAATACATGGGTAGCTCATCCACTTAGCGCATTTCTAACTTCTTAGCATAAGCACTGATTGAAATGAACTTGCATCTTAGCATTGCCTTGATCATGTCCCGTAAGTTTTGATATGTTGTGTTGATGCCCTCATTTATTTCAAGCAATTGTTTTATTTCCCCTTTGATCTGCTCTATAATACATTGTTCATTCAGTAGCATATTATTCAGTTTATAGGTATTAGCATTTCTTCTGGGGTATTTTTACTCAATTTTTAAATTGCTGAGGCTTGTTTTGTGGCCTATAACATGGTCAATCTTGGAGAACATTCTATGTACTGATGAAAAAACAGTGCATTCTCAGTCTGAAGAACGAAAGGTTCTCTAGATGCCAGTTAAGTCCATTTGTCTGGATGAGCTCTGCTGTTTCCTTGCCGAGTTTCTTCCCCGTAGATCTGTCCATTGATGTTA